AGGTCGCGCGCAACGCCCCCTTTTCCAGGCGAGCGGCTCCCGACAAGTAAGCTGCACCATGTTAACTAAGGGAAAAAGAGCATCCACGCATGCAGACGGGGCAGCCTTACACACAGCATTGGCGATGAGATCGCCCCCCCCCCCCGCTCTTCCCTGATCGGCACGCTGCGCCGCCCCGCGCAAGACACCACGAGACATGATACTGGACAGATCTCTCGGGCCAGCTGCGCGGAAAACTTGTTGCTGGTGGTTGCATGCCTGCGCAAGATCGCCCGCGTCACAGACAGCGGCTTCTTCCGCCTTGGCAAAATGCTGCAATAATCCGGATGCGAGTTGCTCCTGCGTTTCAAACGGGTTCCCCTCGTTATCCAAAACGAAGCGGCAAGACATTACCCCCTTCTTTACGAACTCCGCGCAAGCCATCATGCACCTCACATTCCTCCGCGCCTCACTTCCATCCCCCGCGGCGGTGGCCTCCTTGACTTGAACTGCGGTCTCTTGCAAGAAATTGATACGATCAGCACGCAACTTGGCCCCAATTGCACGCTGCGAACGCCTCAAGAAAAGGACGCAAGCCTCGGCAAGACCCGCGAAAGAAATGTTGCCGCCACTCCAAAGACGGCACATGAAAGCGAGCACCCCTACCTCCTCATCAAAGGCAGGACACTCGGCCACAGCAACAATGTCAACGTCGATGCGGTCGCTGGCTAATGTAACGATAGATGTGACGAAGTGGCTGGCAGCGCCGGCGTCGCTGTCACTAACCCGACGGAGGAGGGCCCTGACACGTCGCCCAACCTTGATCGCCCACAAAGTTTCTGATATCATGTAACTGTACGCGGCCCCCAGGTCAACCGACAAAAATGTTTGCTAGTGCAATCATGGAACCACCGACTCAAAATGGCAAAATGGCCGTTGACATCCACTGACCAGTGCACGAGCGGGCAGCCACACATCTCCTGCTCAAACGCTTCGCACCGATGGGGGTCCTGCATGAGGGCAGGGCCAAATGCAGGCGGCGACTGTTTCCCACTCACTTGCTCCGCCCATGCCAGGCTAGCGTGCACTGGGTAGTGGTCCTGGTGCGAACGGCCCACAGCTATGTCGTACCAAACCCCTTGCTGAACGACGTTTTCCTTCCAAGCCTGCGGGGGCGCACGCGTAATCGATGCGATGTGTACTGCCAGCGTTGCACTGATACGCGTGTTGTGAGCCCTTTTCTCCATGCCATGTGGACACAGCACACAGCTTCACATCGCAAAGCGCATTGTGGAATAACAAACCGTTGTCGTCCTCTACATCAGGGCACGCGCCTCCGACGGCCTCCCAGACCGACGATCCAAGACGCCCGTTCGCGTCGGCAAGCAACGCATCATTTCCGAGACGGCCCATGATCTGACCAGCGGAACCCCACCAGGCTCTTCTCTTATTGGGGGGGACATCGGCACGCGGGGCATGAGCAACCACGACAGCGATGTTCCAAAAGGGGGCCTGCACGCGCACAACAACCCAACGATGATTAAGATCAAGAACGGTACAGATCGATGATTTTTGTATATAAAAAAAGCTCTCTTGCCCCCATCTTGGCATGCGGAACCTGACATGCGATCCGAAACTCGCACCCTAAGTTTTCCCCGTCCTCAGTTCCCAAAGCAACGCAGAAATAACCATCTGCCATCTTGCGCCCCTGTGGAGTCGTCGCCTCCTGGATGCCGGCAAAAAGTACCTGCTCCCCAAACTGGATGCGCAGCTGCTGTCCTCGCAAGACCGACCTTCCACCCTTAATCGAGTTCTGTGCGGGTTCGGCGCTGTAAGAAACTAGGGTAAACTCCCGCCACGCAACAGTTTCGATCCCTTCCTCTAACTCCTTGTGGCCAAACGTCTCTGGTTTGCTGATCGCAAAAACTCCCCCCCCCCCTCCTTGCACTGCTGTGGCAGGCTTGGACACTTCAAACTGCATTGGTCCTGGAGCGCATACTGCTGGCGGTGCAAGTATGGGAGGGCGCAAATCCAATACCAATCTAAAGGTGGGGCGCAGTATGATTCGGCAAACAGCTGGGGAAGAACACATCGATACCCATGAGACAATGTGGATTTGGCAATGTCATCTGCTGGTTCGTTCCAGCAGTTCTTACAGTGCCCATATACATGCATTATCCTGAGCTGCACCCCCCTGCTGCAATAGCGCGCGCATGCCTGGCGAGCCCTGCCAGCTCTGGCTCGGCCACGGCGACAGCACGGCCCATCACGATGTCAATTGCTGACTCCGAGTCAGAAAAAAATGTTGAGGGTAGGGGGCGGCGGGGCCCAAGTAACGCAGGGCATTTACCAGCGACCCATAGCGACGCCCAAAGGATCCCAACGAGTTCGGCCGTCGCGCTGCTGATAGATTTATTCAACTGAAAGTTAATCGACTGTGCTACGAGACCCGCTATATATCCAAGGAACTCTACCCCACCGCCCCCACTGCTGCAAGTGCCCATGACGGCCCACCCTCCCTCCGACCTATCCTTAGGCACCGATCCGTCGGTGCATAATGCGACCTGACGCGACGGGCACTGCGCGGGGGTGGTCACATCCAGGGCAAACTTCGCAACATCCTGAAGCGGCAAATCCCCGAAGTTCCTGGGCCAGTCGATGGAACCCCCGCGCTCTCCAAAGCATGTTTGCACACGTCCGGCCCCTGAGAATGCACAATTTACACTGTCCGCGGCAGCGGCCGTCAATGCATCCAAACTGATGGTCATTTTTGGCGCAGGGGGCGTCGGCACTGGCGAGGCCGCGACAGGGAACAGGCGCGCGCTCGGGCTGACTGGATCATACTCGACAGCATCCGCCACCCCCCAAGTAGCCCACCGCCCCCCCCCGAAGGCCATCCCGAATGCGCTGTAACACCTGCGCACCGCGCGCGGCAGGGGAAGACCCACCTGCCCTTGATTGCGCGTAGCAGAAAGAATGTGGCACCGCGGCGCTCGAGGCAGATGGACCGAGCACTTCCCAAGGCGAGCCCCCCCCCCCCCCCCCCCAAGCCTCAGCCCCCGCCCCCCAGATGCAAACGCCTGTGGTACAGGCGGCATGCTTAAAACTAGCGAACGCATCTGGCCGCGTGGCCAATCGCGCCTATCTGCAGCTTCCACTGCTGCTGGCCAAACTGAAGTGAAACCAAAACTCGCATCTGCAACGCGTGCATCTATGCCTCCGCCACGTGAGCTCACGACTGTCGACACTCGATCGCGCTGCCGTTGAAATGGTCGAAACGACATCAGGAATGCTGCGACACGGCGGCCACGCATCAGAGACCACAGAAAAACTAGCAACGCTCACCCCCGCGTAACTCTGCACACTGGTCCCTGCTGCGCGCCCGCCCTTTATCAGTTTCCCGCCTTGTCCTGCATCTTCTCGGACTCCTTCCTCGGCGGGGACTCGCCATCGGGCATGCTTGATTCGATGATCGCTGCCTCTTCCGCGATCGAACCCGCAGGCGCCGCGACAAACGGATCGCACCGCGCGTCGCCCTGCATCGGCTGCGTAGGTGAGATACCGACTAGAACCAGATCTCCGGGCCCCCTCCTCCTCGACATCTGACTTTAGTCCTGGTACTGGCTGCGCCAAAGCTGCTTTCACTGGAGCATGCGCAACTGGTGTCGACGGCTGCGGCTGAGACATCTGCTCCGTGGGAATCGGAGGCCGTGACCTCGACCGTGTCCCACCCTCGCCCTTTTTTGCCTCGAATGCCGTAGATCTCGCACGGGGCTGCGCCACGGGCGTGGCTGGCACTGGTCCACGCGGCGTTGGAGGCACGGCGTCATGCATGGATGTCTGCAATGGTGGCGACGGTGGGAAACCTGGCGGGGTACCAGTCGCAGCCACTGATTGAGCCTCCGCCTGCGGCGGACCAGATACCCTTGCGCACGTCTCCATGGCTGGCCCAATCCCCTGCTGTGCTAGCACCCTGTTGACCTGCTCGCCCTGATACATGATGGTCGTCATCATCTGCGTCACGAACTGCGAAATCTGATTGATCTGCTCCTGTGCACTCTGTCCCGTTGCCGACAGTGGAGGCGGGGGTGGCACCACAGCCTGCGGATTCCTCGACGTGGCGCCAGGAGGTGAGGCAACTCTCCGCATATGCGCATCCCGTTGGTGCTGCTCCTGCTGCTGCTGCTGCGGCTGTGGCTGCTGCTCGTGCCCAGCGCGCTGGGCCGCCGAATGGCTGCCCGCTGGCGCAGCGCCAGCGTACGCCAAATCGTCCTCCTCCTGGTACTGGTCCTCTAGCTCGTCGATCAGCTCTTTGACCCTGTCCAATTCGTCGATGATCTCTGCCTCCTGCTCCGCTAAGAGCTTGATCCTGCTCCTGGTGTTGCGCAATTTCTCGAAGACTCTCTCCTTCCTCGCCCTCATCTCTCCCAACTGCTTGCCCGTCGGGAGTGTCTGCCCGAGCGCCGCCTTAATCACGCTTATAGTGTACTCGCTTGCGGTGGCCTCGTCTAGAGCGCTGGCTCTGCGGGCGGCCACCGCCTTCTTTGCTACCTCCTCGATCCTCCGATGGCATTGTGCACAGAAACTACTGTGTGATGTCTTGTCAGCTGGCGCCTCCACGAAGTCCTCGTGCCCAATCGCATCTGCTCTGCATAGGGGAACAATCCTGGAGATGAGTGCCTTGCATGCACGGTCGGGCTTTGCACCACGGCCTGGGGCGCGACTGGCAGTCCTCCTTGGTTGGCTGGACTGTCTGCTCACCGGCTTCTCTTGCTGCCTGGGACCATGCTCGTTGGTGCCTCGATTTCCGTTGGGCCGAGCTGATTGCTGTCCACGTCCATGCTGCCAACCATGCTGCCATTGGAAGATACCCTGAAGCCTTTCTTCCCGTGAACTCCCGCATATGCAAAACTTGTGGCCCTTGACATATCTTCCGCACGGACAATTCCGCTGCCCTCGCTCTGCACGGTTCGCCATCCTCCTCCTCCTCCTGCCTCCTGCCTCCCCTCCCCTCCCCTCCCCTCCGCCCACGCGCCCGACGCAAGGGGGCGGTCAGGCCAAGAAGCTGCCCTCGCCCGCCGGCCCTTTCGTCGCCGCCCTATGCAGGAAGCTGCCGGCCAGGGGTTCCTGCAGGGCCTCCCCGGAGCGGGGCCAGAGAGCACATCAGAATCAGAAATGTTAGCCAGCGTGGACCCCAAACAACAATTTGTCTAATAGATGCGGTGCAATCTATGCGGCAAAATCTACGTGGTGCAATCAATGTGGTTCAATCTAGGTCGTGCAACCGATGTGCTGCAAAGCATTGCGAAGCATTGCAAACCATGGCAGAGCAACGCAAAACAATGCAAAACGATGCGCGACGCTATGAAAAGCCATGCAAAACCGTGCGAAGCCATGCAAAGCGATGCAAAGCCATGCAGCGCAATGCAAAGCAATGCGAAGCAAAACAACGCAACGAAAAGCAAAGAAGAGCAACACAGAGCCATGCAGCGCAATGCAAAGCAATGCAAAGCAATGCAGAGCAATGCAAAGCAACGAAAAGCAATGCAAAGCAATGTAAGACCAAGGCAACGCAAAGCAACGCAGAGCAATGCAATGCAAGGCAACAGCATGCAACAGCATGCAAAGCAAGGCAAAGCAATGCAATGCAACGCAGCGCAACGCAGTGCGAGGCAACGCAGAGCAATGCAAGCGGGCGGCTTCGACGGGCGGCGACGGGCGGCGAAACGCTAGCCAGACCGCCAGCCAGGCCCAGGTCCCCAGAGGACGAGCAAGAGCTCCCAGGTGCAAGCACTGCTCCAGGGGAACAAAAAGTGGCATAAACATAAAAACTCTGAGGTCCGCGCGGGTTTCTCGGATCGACGCTGGACCCCCCTCCCTGGCGCGCGGGCCGCGCCATGGGCGGCGTCGGAGGCGCCGCCAGGGGGGTCCAGCGCGGATCCGAGAAATCCGCGCGGACCTCCGAGTATTTATGTTCATGCCATTTTTTGTTCCCCTGTGCTCGGGGAAGATCGGCCCACGCAGACGTCTTCGGCGGCCGGTGCGGACTTCTCGGGCTGGCGCCGGGCCCTCCTCCCTGCCGCGCGGCGCCGCCAAGGAGGGCCCAGCTCCAGGGCTGGAGCAGAGGCGGGGCCCGAGGATCGCGACGCCACCGCGGAGGCATCGGCGATGGCGGCGCGAGCCTCTGGACCCAAACTCCTCCTCCTCCTCCTCCTCCTCCTCCTCCTCCTCCTCCTCCTCCTCCTCCTCCTCCTCCTCCTCCTCCGCCTCCTCCTCCTCCTCCTCCTCCTCCTCCTCCTCTCCTCTACATCCTCGGTGTCCTCCTCGCCCTCCATCCTTCTGCCTCCTCCTCCTCCTCCCTCCTCCCTCCCCCTCCCCCTCCCCCTCCCCCTCTCTTTCCGATGGTGGCCACCGATTTGACGTCGCCAGAAACTTACACCCTCGCAACACATCACCACCAAAGCCCTGGACCCCATGGTTTCTGCGCCGCTTTTCCAAGCGGATCGATCTGTGAGGGCCCTGGGGCCCGAAAGCGCCCGCTGTGAGGCATGGCCGCGCCCAGGCGCCGCTCGGGCCCAGAGGCAGCCTGCCGAGGCTCACCGCCGTCGCCGCCGTCGCCGTCGCCGTCGCCGTCGCCGTCGCCGTCGCCGTCGTCGTCGTCGTCGTCGTCGTCGTCGTCGTCGTCGTCGTCGTCGTCGTCGTCGTCGTCGTCGTCGTCGTCGTCGTCGTCGTCGTCGTCGTCGTCGTCGTCGTCGTCGTCGTCGTCGTCGTCGTCGTCGTCGTCGTCGTCGTGCGAGCCCCGCTTTGCGAGACCCAAAGGCTCCCAGTCGGGCTCCCCCAGGCTGCCGCCGGGCTCCCGCGGCTCGCCCCGGGACCCAAAGCGCGCAGTCGTGTCCTCGGGCAGCTGCGCGAGAGGCGCGGCCGCAGCCCCGCGCGGGGCGGGGCTAAACGCCGCCCCGCCGGGCGGGGCGGTGGCCTCCTGCGTCTGGGGCAGCATCCTTCGAGTAGGAGATCGACTACAGGCAAAACTGACAGCAAGGATGCGCGATGAGGACACGTGATTGAGGGGAACACGAACCAGCATAAACATAATTTTTTCGAGCTGCGCGCGGATGTCTCGGATCGGCGCCGAGGGCCCCCCTGGGGGGTGCATACGGAGACCCAAGAAATCCGCGCGGAGCTCCAGAGGTTTATCCGAATGCCGCTTTTCCCTCTGGGGGCCAAGGGAAGCGAGTGGCCTTGGACGCCCACGCCGAAGCTGTTCGAGCGGGGCTGGCCGTCGAGAGTGGTCAGGGACGGACGACGGGGCAAAAATTCAAGGGTACCCTTGGGAAGGTGACCCATGCTGTTCCTCGGCTTCAACTGCAGGAGATCGACTGAGGAATTTATTTGCGCCCCGGATTGTTTCTCTCGTCGAATCTACTAGCAAGCGCGTTTGAGTGCTCGCGGGCCCACGAGCACGCTGCGCATGTGCGGTGAATACGACAGAAAGTCAACTTCAGGGCGACTCAACATTTTAGTCGATCCCCTGCTCGGATCCTGGGAGCGGGGCTCCAAAGCTCCGAGTGCCGCTCCTCGTCGGGGGGCGCCAGCCCCCTGGCGGCCCCACCGATCCTGGCCAGGCCCGCGCACTCGGCCCAGGGGTCTGTGCCTGCACGCCTCCCCGGCACATGGGCCTGGGAGGGCGCATGCACACCAGTCCTCGGCGACGCGCAGAAGGGGGGGCAGGGAGAAGGGAGAGGGCTTCTTGGAAGGAGGCTGCTCCTCAGCTGCGAGGCAGGGACTTATCCACATCCATCGCCTGGGAACCGACGTCCTGGTGCCCCAGCGGGCGGTGGATATGGATATATGAGAGAGCGTGATCCACCGCCGCTTCACTGTGGAAAATTCCCCCCCCTCTTCCTCCGAAACCCGGGGGTCCCCCTCCCCCCCACTCCGAAAAACCATCCCCCCTTGCTGGACCCACCCACCCCTCCCCCCAGCAACCTCCTCCCCCCCCCTCTCTAAACCCCCCCCCTCCGGAAAACCGACCAGGTGGGGGTCACTACCGGTTCGAGCCCCCCCCCTCCGGAAAACCAGGGGGGGGTCACTAATTACCGGTTCGAACCCCCTCCCCCTCCCTCCGGTCCGGAAAACCGGGAAGGGTCACTACCAGGTCGAACCCTCCCCCCCTCCGGAAAACCAGGGGGGGGTCACTACCGGTTCGAACCCCCCCCTCCGGAAAACCGGGAGGGGTCACTACCGGGTCGAACCCCCCCCCCCCCTGAAAACTGGGGGGTGTCAATACCGGTTCGAATCCCCCCCGGGCCCCTCCCCAGAAAACCAAGGGGGGGGTCACTACCGGTTCTAACCCCTCCCCCCCCCACGCTCACCGCCAGCAAACGACTCCCGGGTCCCTACCACCGTCCGCACCACATCCCCCACTGCTGTCCCCAGCACCACTCCCCACTTTCTCCACAGCCCCAACCACTCATGGCGACCTCGGGCCATTTCGGCACACCCCCCACGAGGATCGTGGCCCCATAGGGAACTCTGCCGAATGCCCCAGTGGCAGGGTTCGCAAGGCGGCCTCGGGCCATTTCGGCACACCCCTCACGAGGATCGTGGCCCCAGAAGGAGCTCCACCGAAGGCGCCAGTAGCAAGGTTCGCATGGCGGCCTCGGGCCATTTCGGCACACCTCTCACGAGAATCGTGGCCCCATAAGGAGTTCCACCGAAGGCGCCAGTGGCAGGGTTCGCATGGCGGCCTCGGGGGCTATTTCGGCACACCCCTCACGAGGATCGTGGCCCCATAGCTGTGCTGCTTCAACAACCGCGCCTGGGCGTCGTACTCCGCCTTGCCGACGTGCAACACCACCTTCTCCTCCCTCATGGCTCTCAGAGCCCTGTCCTGCTTCTGTCCCACTGTCCCCGCCGCTGTCCCACTGAGCTGTCCCAGTGTTCCCAGCTCTGTCCCCACTGTCCCCCGCCACTGTCCCCACTGCACCTCTGTCCCATTGTCCCCCCGTCGTCCTCGCCACCGCCCTCACCACTGTCCCCACCACCACTGTACCCTCCACTGTCCCACTGTTTCCACCACGTTCCCACTGTCCCCACACCACCGTCCCCACCACCACCGTCCCCACCACTGTCCCACTGTCCCCACTGTTTCCACCATTGTCCCCGCTGTCCCCATCAGTGCCCCAACCAGTGTCTCACTGTCCCACTCTCCCCACCATTGTCCTACCACGGTCCCACTCTCCCCACTTTCCCCACGGTCCCCACCACTGTCCCACTGTATCCACCACTGTCCCACTGCCCCCGCCGCTGTCCCACTGTGCTGTCCCACCGTCCCTACTGTCCCCATCACTGTCCCACTGTTCCCACTGTCCCCACCACTTTCCCCACTGTACTACTGTCCCACGACTGTCCTCACCACCGCCTGCACCACTGTCCGCACCACTACTGTCCCCACCACTGCCCCACTGTCCCCACCACTGTCCTGCTGTCCCCTCACCACTGTTCCCACCACCACCGTCCCCACCACTGTCCGCACCACTGTCCCACTGTCCCCGCACCACTGTCCCCACCACCACCGTTTCCACCCCTGTCCCAGCATTCCCACCATTGTCCAACTGTCCCGAGGAGCGGGCATCGTTTGCCGGCGGCCAGGGAAGGGGGGGGTGGTCGAACCGGTAGTGAACCCCCTCGGTTTTCCGGAGGGGGGGGGGGGTTCGAACCGGCAGTGACCCCCCCCTTTTCATGATGAACTGGGGAGGGGGGGAGGGGTTCGAACCGGCAGTGACCCCCCCCGGTTTTCCGGAGGGGGGGGTTCGAACTGGTAGTGACCCCCCCCTTTTCATGATGAACGGGAGGGGGGGAGGAGTTCGAACCGGTAGTGCCCCGTCCCCGATTTTCGAGGGGGGGGGGACGGGGTGGGAACCCCCAGTGAACCCCCTGGTTTTCCGCCAGCAGCGGTAGAACACGCTCTTTCGGATATATTTGGGCCCCCGGGGCCAGAATATATCCATATCCACCGCCTGCCGAGGTCCCCGAAAATCGATCATCCAGGCGGTGGTCATGTATAAATTCCCGCCTCGGATTAGCAGTCGCGGGTCTTACACGTCGGTCGGAAGAAGTAGACAAACTACTGAAGCATGAAAGCGGATAAAATGGATTGGGTCCAGGCCCTACCAGAGGGCAGCAAAGCACAGCAAAAGCAGATCGATGATTGAGGTAGGAGGCTTGAAGTAGATTGGGATCTGGGAATTCCACAAGACGTACTTACAACGACCGGCGTGTAGGGGGAGGGGGAAGGCTTCTCGGAAGGGGGCTGCTTCTTAGAAGGCGGGGGCCTTACGTCTACAGACAAGGCCCGCGCCAGCTGAGAGGCAGGCTTCTGAGGAGCCTTCCCTCCTCCCCCTGCCCCACTCTGCGCATGCACATCAGTCCTCCTGGGCCTGGCCAAGACCGGTGAGGTGGCCGTTCCGACTGCGACACGAAAGGGTGACCCCGCCTGGGCAGGAGTCTCCTCTGGTGCCCGGCTTGCGGGGAGCCGTGGGGGGAGCACATCCGAGCGCGCGGGCCACTGCTGGCGGGACCCCTGTGAGCCCGCACCGCCAGAGGCCACCCCGGCGCCGAAGGGCCACTCCCTCGCGCGCCGCCGACGCAGCCGACGCCCCCCGATCCTCCCGGAAGGCCCAACCCCTCGGCGGGGGCGACCCCGACAGGCCCAGTGGCGGGGCGCTCTTGGGCACGGCGGCCCGCGGAGGGGTGCAGCGCCCCCGGAGCTCGGAGCTCCACGGGGCCAGGTCGGAGAGGCGCGGCAGCAGCGCGCCCGGGGAGGGCGGCGTGCCGAAGCCCTCCAGGGCCCCGGGCCGCGGGGGCGTCGGGCCGTCCGGGCCACGGCCTCCGCGGGCGGCGCCCCGCCAGCCGCCGCCGCTGCCCTGGAGGACCGAGGATCGAAGTGGAGGATCCAGGAGGAGGGCTCAGGATCCAGAGCCGTGGAGGGGGAGGGCCCAGGAGGACCCAGGAGGAAGGCGAGGATCGACGAGGAGGGTCGAGGAGGAGATCCGGGATAGAGGAGGAGGACCCAGGATCGAGGGGGGGGTCGAGGAGGACCGCGGCCGTCCCCCCGGCTCCCGCGCGCGGAGAGCCTCGAGCACGCTGGGGAGGCGCACGTGCCAGCACAGCTTCTGGCACGCCCCTACGGCGGTAGTGGAGCTGATCACGTCCCCGCCCGTGACAAGGGCGATGCGGTCTCCGACGGCGACCAGCGCCTCTCACGAGCGGCGAATGTACCCAAATCCGCGCCCTCGCGGTCTGGTGGCATTGGGTGCGGGCACGCGGAGCATCCGCAAAAAACGCCCCGTGTCCACGAGGGCGCGCTCGGGTGCCCAGCCCGCGAGGCCGTGGACACGGATACGGATTCCCGCCTGCGAGCCTCGCTGCCGCGCCGGAGCTCGAGCGGGCTGTCCCCGTCCCTCACCAGCCACATCGTGTTGTCGGTCAGGGATCGCAGCCTGAACTCCCCGCCGACCTGCGCGATGCTGAAGTGGTCCCGGCTGAGGAACGGGAGGCACTCCTTCGCCACGGCCACGCGGTGAAGTTCTGGCTGGTGCCGTCTACCAACCACGAACTCCTTGCCCGTCAGCACGGAGATCGGGCCCAAACACCTTCAGATACCGCAGCTGCTACAAAGTGAGATGCTTCGGTGGCGCAGTCAGGCCACACACTGAGCAACACATATTGAACGGATACTGGGGAAATATGATCGCTGGACACAAGTGCCATCCACTTCACAGTCTCTCACTCTAGCATGTAGTGACGTGGAACAAAAATAGGATGCAACACGGCGCATTAGATCATTGGCTGTCATCCGTAAAATACATAGCTCAAACCTCGCTAGCACCTCGTCTGGAATCACACTGTTGCGTTTGCAACGAGAAGACGACTGTCACCATCCACGGCAACTGCGCGCTTGGCGCTGGCCGAACTTGCGGTGGGCGACTGTTCTGATGCCTGGGTTGGATACAACATAACATCCGCCAGCCCCCCTGCGGGGCCACCAGGCTGTAGGCCGAAGTGTACTGCTCCCTGCACCAGTTGCAGTGCAAGTCTCAAGGGTTACTTGTTACAGTCCTGCTTTCGGCTTCCTACTGTAAAGTGTTGAAGTCCGCGCGACGGGGGGAGCCCCAAAAAATCAAATTTACCAAGCAAGGATCGCGTTGACCCAAATTCCCGCGCGGACGTGGAACATGCAAAAATACCTAAGACTCGCGCCCCCGAAGCCATGATCCAGGGTAAATCACAAAAAATGTTCGCGCCCCCGAGGACACAAACCCTCGTGCATTACGAAATGTTTGCGTCCCCGAGGCAACAAACCATAGTAAATTACACCAGGTTCGCGTCCCCGAAACCATGAACCTGTGCAAGTTGCGTCGTCTTCGCGTTGCCGAGGCCAAGAGTACTCCAAACCGCCCGAAGATGGTTCCAAGACGACCCAAGAGGGCCCAAAGAGGCCCCAAGAGCGTTCCAAGAGGCCTCCACAGAGAGCCCTAAGAGGCCGAAATCGTAGATTTCACGAGATGTTTGGAGGATTCTGGCCTTCTCGCATTTCCGCCTTCCGAAGCTCATAAGACCACCCAAAGACAGCCCAAGCCAAGAGGGCCCCAAGACGGCCCAAGAGGGCTCCAAGATAGCCCAAGAAGCACTCAAGACGGCCCAAGAGGGCCCCAAGACGGCCCCCAAAGGGCCCCAAACAGGGGACCACGAGCCGAACATTCCATATTTGTGCCCCGAGAAGCCCCCAGAAGGCCCCACGAGGCCGCCGAGAGGCCTACAGGAAGGCTCGCATTGATCAAAACCATTGATTGCCCGTAGGTTGTTCAAAGGTTGGGGCAGTTGCTTCTTTTCGATCTTCTGACGGCCCGAGACGGCCCAAGAGCCCCAAAGATCGCACCAAGATCGCCCACGAGGCCTTCCAAGAGGGACCCACAACGCCCCAAGAGGCCGCGAAGACGGCCCCCAGAGGGCCCCAAGACGGCCCAAGATGCCTCGAAGACGCCTAAGATGGTCTCCAAGACGGCCCTAAAGCACCCCAAGAGGGCACCAAGTCGGCCCAGAGAGGCCCTCAAAACGGCGTCCGACGGGCCAGGAGGCCATCAAGACGGCATAAGATGGCTCCAAGATGGCCCACGACAGCCCAAGAGGCTCCCGAGAGCTCTCCAAGACGGCCCAAGAGGCCTCCAAGAGATCCTCCAGGAAGGCCCGAAGAAGCCAACATCATTGATGCTCCTTGGGTCTTTGAAGGATTTTGGCGATTGCCCGAGACGGCCCGAAAGCCCCCAAAGCTCGCCCCAAGATCGCATAAGCGACCTCCGAGATGGCCCCAGAACGGCCCAGGAGGCCCCCAAGACGGTCCCAATAGGGCCTCAAGACGGCCCGAGAGGCCTCGAAGACGCCCAAAATGGCCTCGAAGACGCCCAAGATGGCCTCCAAGACGGCCCTGTAGCACCCCAAGTCGGCCCAGAGAGGCCCAGAAGACGGCTCTCGACGGCGCCATACGGGCCAGGAGGCCATCAAGACGGCCCAAGATGGCTCCAAGACGGCCCAAGAGGCCCCCAAGCGGTCTCCAAGACGGCCCAAGAGGTCCCCAAGAGGGCCTGCAGGAAGGCTCGCAGAGGTCAAAATCATGTATGTTATCTACGTTAGTCAGAGGTTGGGGCATGTGTTTCTTTTTGATCTTCTGACGGCCCGAGAAGACCCAAGAGCCCCCAAAGATCGCACCAAGATCGCCCACGAGGCCTTCCAAGAGGGACCCAAAACGCCCCTAGAGGCCGCGAAGGCGGCCCCAAGGGGGCCCTAATACGGCCAAAGATGCCTCGAAGACGCCTAAGCTGGTCTCCAGGATGGCCCTGGAGCACCCCAAGAGAGCACCAAGTCGGCTCAGAGAGGCCCCCAAGACTGCGTCCGTCGGCGTCAGACGCGGCCAAAGAGGCCCCCAAGAAGCCCCCGAAGGCCCTAGAAGGCCCCCAAGATACCTCCAAGAGGTTCCCAGGAAGCTCCAAGGAGGCCCCCAAAGTGCCTCCAGAGGCTCCCAAGATGCCCCCTCCTCCTCCTCCTCCTCATCTCCTCCTCTTCCTCCTGATCTTCCCCGCTATCCTCCCCCAAGTGTTCCCCGAAGGGCTTCTACAAAGGGTGGGGGAACACATGTCCCGATAGCTTGGCAGAGCTCTTGCCATAACGCTCGGCCACATTGGCGGTTCCAGAAGGTAGAAGGCGGCGCTGATTCGCCGTAGGCGTCTTCGATAACGCCAACGTCTCAATATGCGCTGATGGTTCCTCTCCGCCCCCACACGATATTCCCAGATGCGCCAAGGCGGCGCCGAGGCGCACCGACGCGACTCTGATATATCCCATTATGATAGAGAGGGGGCCAGCGGCAGAGGGGGCGAAGCCCTTACCGATATTCAGTATTCGGGAACGCGCAGGCTGAACAAAAGAACCTAAACTAAATCAACTTGCGCCGCATTTTAACACATGGGGATTGGAACTATGACATTTGGGATCATCATACAGAACGCTGAATGCACACCTCGAAATGTGACCAGATGGCTGTGGCCAGAGAAGAAAGGTGAATCGTGTGAACACACAATGTCGATGACATGTGAAACATATGTGGGACACATGTGGACATCAACGTTCCATCTAAAGAATGTGAAAGGACCAGGCGCTGAGAGCTAATGGTTGCCGTAGTCTTTTCAAAGAGCGATTACAAATAATACGCCCCCGCATGAGACATTACACCTCGGTCAAAAACATACGTACCTGGTGCTGTTACTACGATCAGCAACACTTTTACTTTGAACACGTGCAGAATTAGACACTGCTACAAGACATGCTTGCCAACGTGAACCCCAAACAGTGGGTTCCTGCGCTCTCGATGTGCCCGCTAAGTGGTGCAGATTGTGGACTGCAATAAATGTGTTGCACTCTACATGGTGCAACATCTTTGGTGCAATCGATGAGAAATAGGCCATGCGGTGCAAGCTATGTGCTGCAAGCTGTGGGGTGCAAACCGTGCGGCGCACAGTGTAGAGTGCAATATACCTGTGGTGCACGCGAAGTGGCGCAAGCCATGGAAAGCAGTCTATGCTGGACCGTATTTGGGGTGCAAGCAATGCGGCTCAAACTATGCAGCGCCAGCCTATGTGGCGCACGCTACTTGCTGCAAGCTATGGGGTCCGGTCTATGCGGTGCAAGCCGTGCCGCACAACTTATGGAGTGCTCTGCGTGGTGCAAGCTTCGTGGCGCAGTCATGTGGCGCAAAACTATGTGCGCATACGGAAACGCGAGCCAGCGGACGGGGCGGGCACGAGGCGGGAGCTGGCAGGTACCAGGCGAAGGCCCAGAAACGGAGGCCAGTCCTTTACAGAACGAATGAGAAACCTCAAGTCGTGCAAGCGTGGCCTGGAGACTCTCAGGGAACATGATTCTCCGATGGCGTCCCAGGGCTGTTGGGCATCTGCTAGCAAATGTCCTGTTCCATTACTGTTGGATCGACCTCCCCGAGTGGCCGACTCCAGGAATCCTGAACCTGAATGTGTCACTTCGGGAGCGGAAAAGAGGGGGGTGTCCAAGAGGGGGGGGCGCAAATCATGACTGGCGGCATGTGCGCGGCCCAGCGGGGGGACCAGGGACGTAATGAAATAAGAAGAGGCGCCATGAAATTTGGGGAGATATCATGGCCCCCGCCATGAGATCCACCACCCCCTAGTCATCACCCCCCTCTTTTCCGCTCCCGATCACTTCTACTTCCCGCCGCCTTCTGCAGGCCTTCCGCCGGCTTCCGCCGGCCGACCCGCCACCGCTCTCTCCTTCCGCCGCCCTCCGCCGAGGCGGAGGGGCGCCGAAGGCGAAGCCCATGACGCCCCGAGTTTTTGTTTTTTGTCCAGCGCAATGTTGGAAGAGAGGGAGGAAAAAGGCGAAAGGGAGACCGCGCACACGCCAGAACTTAAACCGCCTCGTGCCGGGGAGTCGGCACGCAAACCTGCCGCACCATTGCGCCCCAGGTGCCGCGACCTCTGCGGCAGCGGCACGTCCAGCACGCCGTCCCCCGCGAGCTCCAGGACGATCTCGTCGGGTGCGCGCAGGCTGCCGAGGTGCCTGTCCTCGGCGCTCCCAGGCGTTCTCAGGCGCTCCCAGGCGCTGCAGGGCGCTGCCAGGCGCTCCCAAGCGCTCACAGGCGCTCCCGGGCGGAGGAGGAGGAGGAGAAGGAGGAGGAGGAGGAGGAGGAGGAGGAGGGAGGAGGAGGAGGAGGAGCAGCAGGCATCACCTCAGACGCGCGCCCGTGGCTGCCTCCTCCCCGTTCCCGCTCACGCCCCACCCCATCCATCCCCTCTCTCGCCTCGTGCTCGCCCTCACCTCCCTCTTGTGCTCCTCCTCCTCCTCCTCCTCCACCCTCCTCCTCCACCTCCTCTTCACCCCCCCTCCTCCTCCTTTCCACCCCTTCTCTCCTCTCCATCCTCCGCCCATCGTCCTCCTACGCCCACCGAGGACACCACGCGAAGGAACCATTACCCGTGCCCCTGCCCCTCCTTCCCTCTGGCGTCATCTGCCCCGAAGGCTGACTCCCAGGGAGACGACGACGACGACGACGACGAGGACGACGACGACGACGACGACGACGACGACGACGACGACGACGACGACGACGACGACGACGACGACGACGACGACCGACGACCGACGACCGACGACCGACGACCGACGACCGACGACCGACGACCGACGATGGACGACCGACGATCGACGATCGCCTTGGCCAGCGCCCGCGCCTCCCCACACTCGCAGCTGCTCCTACGCAGCGCTCATCCTGGCCCCCTGGGCCGGGCCTTCCACAGGACTGGCCTGCCATCCTGTGACGGCCGCGTGGCCCGGAGCGGGCTCCCAGGGAGGCCAGGAACCCGGAGAAACCTCAAGGAGCCCCTCCAACTCAGGACCAACTACTCCTCTGCTCAGATTTGAAGGCTGGGCCCAGGGCGCGTGCCCCTCCAAGCTCTGAGCCTCGATCCTCGAAGCCCAGCTCTGGGACAAGGATGATGACGTGACGCGATTGGTTCGGAATGCGTCCCAGGAGATCCAGAGTATTTAGCAGCCCTCGTCTCTGGAGCTCTCGGGCATGAGCGGAACAACAGGAGGATCTGGATAGCTTAGAACGTATCCTTCTCATGACTTCTTGACCCTCTGAGACTCGGTGTGGCACCGACTCGTTCATAACTAATCTATCCCTGGACCTCTCCCGGGGTCAATCATGGCCAGCTTTTTCGAGACGCGTCCAGCCGTGGCGGCGAGAACCTCCAGAGACGCCCGAAAGACCATCAAAACCTCGAACCACCCAGCCATCGAACCTCGGCCCTCGAAGCTCAATTTGCTCGTGGTGGCCCTCGCCCCTCCCGCGTCCTGGCCCCGTGGGCTGCGCGGCCTTCTGCCCAGAACCCCCGGAATCCTCCAAGACGCTCACATCAGACCCCCCCAAAAAGTCGGACCCCTCCCTTTCATTGTGAAGTCTGGGGCAGCCTCATCCTGTCGGTCGTCTTTCTTGAGTCGCGCGGCGGCGGCAGGAAATGTTTGGGCACCCTTCGCACGACAGTGGTCGACCAGTGCACGTGGCCGACTCTGGCACGCCTGAATCCAAACACGTTGACGTCTCGCTTCTGCTTCCGCCGCCATCCGCCGAGCTTCCGCCCGAGGACCCGCCCTCGCTTCATTCCCGCCGACTTCCGCTGGCGAAAACAGGGCAAGATGCGCCGAAGGTTGGCCTGCTTCTCGAGCGCCCCGTATGGCCTAACGGGGGGGCATGGCGATCCCAACCCCTGGCTTTGTGGGCCTTCGACTGGACAAGAAGCTGTAAGCCCAGCTCGGGGACTCACATACGATGGGGGGGCGTCCATCCTCGTGGTGCAACCAGATAGCTCCCAGGTGATGCATCCCCAGGTGATTTATGGGACTGGGCGAGAAAACCAAAGCATCCGACGATATGATTTTTCCAATCCGTGGCCCCAGAAGCCCCGACCCGCTCCCCGGGGGTAGCGATCCATACTCGATGGCACCCGGGCCTGATGATGGGCCCGGGAGGCCGACTTGAAAAAAAACGCCCGGATAGGAAAGGACATCTCGTCGGGCCCCCGGAGGCCGCCTCGAGAAAAGACGCTCGGATAGAAAAAGACATATCGTCGGGGATCTGGGAAAACGCCTGCCTGGGTCGACCCCTCGCTGCAGAGGCCGACAGTGGTGGGTTTGTTTTCCACCGCCACCACCATGAGGGGGTCCTCCTCCTCCTCCTCCTCCTCCTCCTCCTCCTCCTCCTCCTCCTCCTCCTCCTCCTCCTTCCTCCTCCCTCCTCCTCGCACGTAGCTCGGATGAAGTGTGCCTTAGTCCATCTCTCTCATCTGTTGCACCATCTCCTCCCCTCCTCCTCCTCCTCCTCCTCCTCCTCCTCATGATCCTCCTCATCCTCCTCATCCTCCTCCTCATTCTCATCCTCCTCCTCCTCGTCCTCCTCCTCCTCCTCCTCCTCGTCCTCCTCCTCTTCTTCCTCCTCCCCTTCCTCATCCTCCACCTCTCTCCACCCTCCAACCTATGGTGGTGGTGGTGGTGGCGGAAAACAAGCCCATCGGACCGACACGGCCGTCCTGGCCGCCGTCGAGCCCCAGCTCCCAGGGCAGCAGCGACGGCCGCTCCTGCCGCGGGGGCCGCACCTGCGTGGGCACGGGCGCCCGCGCGCATGAGGGTTCCCCTGCAGCGCCGCGCGGCGAGGCCCTGGCAGGAGGGCCGGCGCAGGGAATGAGGAGGAGGAGGAGGAGGAGGAGGAGGAGGAGGAGAGGAGGAGGAGGAGGAGAGGAGGAAGAGAGGAGGAGAGGAGGAGGAAAACTCCTCCTCCTCCTCCTCCCCCTCCTCCTCCTCCTCCTCCTCCTCCTCCTCCTCCTCCTCCTCCTGGCGGCGGATGCGCATTCGGCTGCGCCGCCGGGAACACAATGGTCGGGTGCCCGTCGACACCTCCGCCTTCCGTCTCATGAGGGCGCGGCGCCCCCGGGGGTGGCCGGCTGCCCCAGACAGCGGCCACTCAAAGGGGCGAGGGGTCGACCGGCCAGGGCCTATAGAGTCCGCAACATAGGAACGAGGCCAGCTCCGCGAGGAACCAGTAGCCACGGCGGCCTCGCCCAGCAAATGCGCGGCGCCCGCCGCCCAGCTGGCGCGCTGGCCCCGCTCGCCAGCCGCGCCGGGCGCGCGCGGCCCGACCGATGCCGCCTGCCCAACGCTGCAGGAGGAGGGCCGCCCAGCGCGCGGCCCAGCTGTGCGGCGCGCTGCCCGCGGTCGCCGTCTGCGCCCGCGCCGCTAGGGTCACCGCCGCGCCCGGCGGCCGAGCCTAGGCTCGGGCCCAGCTGGGCCGCTCAGCCCGGCGAGGGCCGCGCCGCCGAGGCCTCAGCGCTCAGTCCGGCACGTCGCTCGGGCGGGCCAGGGCCGCTGGGGCCCGCAAGTCGCTGCGCCGCGCAACAGGGTTGGGCGTCCGCGCGGTAGGCCTCCACGATGCCGCGCTGCAGCGCGGCAGCCAGGCGCCACCGCGCCGCCATCGGCCATCGGCGTCGCCGGGTCGCCTGCCGCCCAGCTCCTCAGCAGCGCCTGCGCCTGCGCCTCCTTCCTGGCGCACCCCAGCGCTTCCACTGCAAAGGTGGCCGGGGCATGGTCCAGGGAACGAAAGTGCTTGTGAGCCTCCGCCGCTGCCGCCGCGGCCCCGTCGCGGGCGGCGCGGCCCTGCCTGGCAGCTGCGCCCGCGCCCAAGGACGAGCCGGCGATCGCCGCGTCGGCGTAAGTGGCCCCAGCGACCGGGTCGGTGGAGGCCACGCCCAGCCGCGCGGCATCGAGGGAGCCGCACGGGCGCGGCCTGCCCCGAGCGGGGGCGAACCGCTCCGCCCTCGCGCCCGCGGCGCCCCGCGCCGCCTGCTAGCGCGCGATCCAGCCCCGCGCGCCGTCGCGCGTCAACGCCGTGCCGCCCCCGATTGGGCAACCCAGAGGATGCCCAAGGTCTGCGCGCAGGTCGGCCCCGCAGCAGGAGCCGTCGGGGCGGCGCCAGAGGCAAGTTGCGCCGGCCTCCAGCGGCAGGGGCAAGCGGAGCCCCAGGGCCAGCGCTGGGTGGAAGAGTTCATCCGCGAGGACGTGGCCCGGCGCCGCGGGCGGGAGCAACTAGCTCCCAGCGCCTTTCCCGCCGGCCGAGCGGCGGCTCGCCTGCTCCGGCGGCGGCGGGGAGGAAAGCAGGAGAGTGCGTCGCAGCTCCTGCGCCAGACTCGCGAGGCGCCGCTGCGCTTTCTTCTCGCGCCCCGTTGCCGCTCGCAGCCAGACCTTGGCGCCCGCGCCCGCCGAGCGCCCCGCCTCCGCCACCGTTGTCCAGGTCTGGGGGCAAGCCGCGGCGAAAGCCTCAAGGCTCGGCAGTCCGAGCTCGCGGCGCACCTCGGCCCGGCATGCCAGCCTGGAGCCCGCGAAGGCGGGCAGCCGCCGCTACCCGAGGCCGCGCACGCCCAGCCCCCGTCTGCCAGGGGGAGGCAGGCCTGCTCGCGCGCCGCCGCAGTCAGGAGCTGCCCCGGCACGCCCTCCAGGTGCCCCGGGGCCCCGCTGTTGTAGTCGGCGCACCAGACCTCGCTGAGCAAGCGTGCTCGCGCGTGGTGCAGGGCAGCTCCGCTCGCATAAAACGCGGAGGAGGGTCAGCTCGTCCTGCGCTCTCAGGCCTTGATTGCGCAAGTTCTGGAGCGCCGTCAAATAGGCCGCCAAGCGCCGGGTCGCCGTCGCTGGCGCGGCCGTCGCGCCGAGGCTGGCCGCCGCCCGGTCGTCGCCGAGGCCCTCGGCCGCGGCTCCGCCGAGGCAGGGCAAGCGGCTGCCCGCGCACGTGACCTCGGGCGTCTCCGTCGCAGCCAGGGTCCCGGCAGCTGCAGGTTGTGTGGGTTACACACCTTGGTTTTGTCCCCGATCAGGCGGACTCCGCGCGCCGCGTAGAGCTCTGGGGCGGCGGCCTCGGCCGCGGCGAGCGCCTCTGGCGCGCCCGCGAGGTGGACGTCGTCCAAACACGCCGCCACGATGGCGCCCGCGCCCCGCCGCAGCGCGCGCGCGCCAAGTCCTCGTAAAGGGTCGCCGTGGCCGCGGCAAAAAAAGCTGGCGAGAGGGGGCAGCCCTGGTCGAGCCCGGTCCGCTGTCACCGCCGCGACAGCGCCCGAGAGGCGCGCGCCGTGCGTGGTGTTCCCTCCATGCCACGCGGCTGCGAGGCGCGCGAGGGGCGGGGGCCTGCCCGTGACCTCGCAAAGGACGACGTCCTAGTCCACCTCGTTGAAGGCATCTGCCACGTCCAGCCACAACGCCGCCCTCGAGGGTGCTTTCTCCACAGCGAAGGCCACCACCTTGTGCATCAGCTCGGCGCCGCTGCGCCGCCCCGCGCCGTACTGGCGCGGGGCCCACCGCCTGGGCGATGAGTTCCTTGCGGTGCTTCGTCACCGCCTTCGCCGCCATGCGGCGCAGCGTCTCCCCGCAGGCGAGGGGCCGCACCCCGCCCTGTGGCTTCTGGAGCGGGAGCAGGCGGCCGCCCACCAGCGCCTGCGCCGCCGACGCGGGCGCCTCGCCGCGCAGGATGCAACCCAGCACCTCCACCAGCGCCGCCTTGCCTTCCGCGCGGCCGCGCAAGGTTGCCCAGCGCTCGAAGCGCGCGCCGCTGAGCCCCAGGCCCGAGTGCCGCGGAAACTTGTTGAGGGGCGCCGAAGGTAGCTAGCGCGGCGAGATGGGATGGGAGCCCGCGCTGGCCCCGGAGGCCAGTTTCCCAGGGCCCCCAGCTGCCGCGGCGGCCCGGAACACCTCCCCAAGCATCAGCAGCTCGTGCACCCAGTGGGCCTGTGCCGCCAGGTCTTGGGGGCGTCGGCCGCCTCCGTCGTCGTAGCCAGGGCGCGCCGTCGCCGCCCAGAGGCCGGCCGAGTCGCCCGCCCACGCCTGCCGGATCCTCGCGGTAAGAATCTTCATGGCTGACGCGGCCTCCCGCTCATCATTACCCTTGGGAGGAATGGCGACGAGCAGACGAGGCAAGAGCAGCAGTGGGGCCCAAGCGCCCCCCCTGGCTGGCTGCGCAGCGGACCGCTTTGAGTGCGGCCGCCAGCAAGCCGCCCACGGCTGCCGTGAGGCTGTCAAGAATTCGCCGAGCGCGCCTGCAAGGTCCCAACTGTCCCACCACGGGAGCCCAGGGAACTTGCCCCTCTCGGCCGCCACCGTGTGGCGGGGCTCCAGGTCGCCCGCAGGCGTGTGATCGTCCTCCTGCACGTTCGCCGCCGGGCCCGCGGCCGTCGCCCCAATCGCACCGCCCACCACGCAGGCTAGGACTTGCGCCCGCGCCTCCTCGGGCAGCGCCGCAAGTCATTCAACTGTGCCTGCGCGGATACCTCCTGGAATACAGGCAAGGTGCCTGAAATAGCGATCCGGGTTGGCACGGCTGGCCAGCCGCACCTCTCGGTGGCCGCACCCCTCGCAGCAGACGTAGCAGAGGGCCACGTGCCAGCGCACCGGCTGCAGGGTCGCCGTCCACGCGAGCACCCTGGTTCGTGAGGCGGCTGTGGGAACGGGGCCGGCGCGGGAGTGGCACCACCAGCACCAGCGGCACTCCACGGGTCAGCAGCGTCGCCGACTGCGCCGCCAAGGTGGGCTGCTCCAGGGGGCACGGCCGCCGCCGCCTCGTCCCTCCCCTTCCTCCTCCTCCTCCTCCTCCTCCTCCTCCTCCTCCTCCTCCTCCTCCTCATCATCATCATCAGCAGCAGCAGCATCATCAGCAGCAGCAACTCATCGTCATCGTCATCATCATCAGCATCATCATCATCATCATCGTCATCATCATCGTCATCATAATCATCATCAGTATCATAATCAGTATCATCATCATCACATCATCATCACATCATCATCATCATCATCATCATCATCATCATCATCATCATCATCATCATCATCAGCATCAGCATCATCATCATCATCATCATCATCATCATCATCATCATCATCATCATCATCATCATCATCATCATCATCATCATCATCAACATCGCCGTCCTCCTCCTCCTCCGAGAGGGAGAGAGAGAGAGAGAGAGAGAGAGAGAGAGTGAGTGAGAGAGAGAGGAGGGCTGGGAGCGGGGCGGGGAGAGAGGCGAGAAAGAGCGACGGGGGCAGGCAGGGAGGGAGGGGCAGGGAGGGAGGAGGAGGAGGGGAAGAGGAGAGAGAGAGAGAGCAAACAACAAAAAAAGGAAGGGAGGGGGACCTGTAGGGCTGGGACGGCGGCATGCCTCCGAAGAGACAGGCCCAAAGACAAGGACGTTTGGTCCAGCACCAAGAGACGGGCCTCGCGGGGTCAGGTGTGCCCCGCAGGCGGATGCGTTGTCGCACCTTTTGCGGGCCCCGTCACCGTCATCGTCGTCGTCGTCGTCGCCGTCGTCGTCGTCGTCGTCGTCATCGTCGTCGTCCTCGGCGGACGAGTCCTGACGCCTTCAGCCCTGGTTGGAAACCACCCCAGACCCTTCGCCCCATCCAAGCGGAGAGCGGAGGAGGGGAAGCCGCATGCGGCTGGGTGGACAACGGGCGCTGACGGGCCGGCAATTCGTTCTATCGGAACTCGAAAATCGCCAGCCCAGTATGCAAGGGCCACGCGTGACTGGAAAGTTTGCCTTGGGCGACGCGAGCAAGGTTATCCTTGCCTGTCCTAGTCCTGGGCAGACACGGCTTGTCCAACTGTGGGGGGTGAGTTGGAGCAGTCTTACCAGTGATTTAAAAATGCAGCATATGCCGATCCCAGAAGGCGAGCTTCTGGCCGGCGGGGTCGAAAGTTCCAGCGACAGGCGAGACGAAAAATATTTGAGGCGAGCGAAGAAATGCCCCGAGGCCCAGCGAAGAAATTCGATGTCCCCAACCGCGAAATTCCCCGGACCGAGCCAGGAAACCAAACGCAGGCGAACGACTGATTCATTGGAAGACCAACGGGAAAACTTCCGCAGGCCCGAAACGCCTCTGAAAGTTTCCCGGCTTGCCTCCACAAGGCACCCCCCAGACACCCTCCCAGAACACCCTCCCCAGGCACCCTGCAGCGATAGCGCTCCCAGGACACCCTCCCAAGACAGCCTTCCCCAGGCCCTCCCAGGACACCTCCCAGGACACCCTCCAGCAACGCCCACCGACCAGGACACCCTCCCAGGACATCCTCCCAAGGCACCCTGCAGCGATACTCCGCCCAGGACACCTCCCAAGACACCCTCCCGCGACACCATCCGCCGAGAACACCCTCCCAGGACACCTCCCAGGACCCCACCAGGACACCCTCCCGCAGCGGTCCTGGGACACACCCGCCAGGACACCCTCCCAGGCCACCCTCCCAGGACACCCTCCGAGGACACTCCTCAGGTCACCTCCCAGGATACCACCCTCCCAGGACACCTCCCAACACACCTCCCAACACACCCTCCCGGGGCGCTCCCAGGACACCCTCGGCCAGGGCACCCACCCAGGACGCCCCCACAGGACACCCTCCAGGAACGCCTCCCAGGACACGTTCCAAGACACCGTCCCCGAGCGCTCCCAGGACACCCCCCGCCAGGGCAGGACACCACGGCGCATTGGCAGCCTTCTTAGCGCCCAACGCGGCCTTTGCTTCGGCTGCGGCGCCAGCCAAGAGTTGAACGACCCTGGTCAGGACCTGGTGCGTAGCGCGCGTCGCAGTGGCGGCCCCGGCGACACGCTGCGCCTTGAGAGCGGATAGCGCGTCGCTCGATTCTGCGGAGCCGAGAAAACTCGAGACGCTGACGTCTGGGACTGGGGAAGTGGATCGCGCGCCGCGCAGGAGCGCGGTCGGTCGGGACCGGCGGAGCGACGCGCTAACCAAAAGTTCCCGTCCGCGTTGAATCGTCATCAGAAGGAAGCAATGCACCCCCAAATGCATATGGGAGCGAACCCCACATCCTCTTGGGCCGTGGGGCTTCGACGCGTTCGAGCGAGCCACTCCCCATCCTCGTTCCCATCCTGAGCCCAAGCTCGTCCCGAGTAGCGTCGACAGCTCGACGTTCCGCATCCGAGACTCCTCCACCTGCGTCTGCGGTGGGTCGGGCCGCCGCTGCTGAACCTGCGGCTAGTACTGAGAAAGAACCAGCTGCTCCGACGGAGTCTGCTCCAGCAGCTTTGCCGCCTACGTGTCCTCACCGACAGCATATTTTGTTCTGCGCTTGCTGCTGAGGCGGCCACGCATGGTCATCGCTTTTTTGCGCCGGGCTACAACATACTGCGCAGTCGGACCCAACATGTTTGCAACCTCTTCCTTGAAAGACTAAGCCAGATCCGATGTGATGCGAGTCCTACTTGAGCCCATCTTCTCAGACTTCCAGGCCTTCCGGAGAGAAGACTTCACTATCCACCAAGGTGGCCTCGACATCCTTGCCACACAGCATCGCCGACAAATCCAGCATGGAGCGTTCACCCGAAATCTCGGCCCCTGCTGTGACCGCAGGCATGTGCTTGGCGGAGGCAGCTTCCCATTCCATATTGGCCATGACCATGTCGCTCACTGATTGCAGCGTTTCAATGCCACTTCTGAGCTTCCTCGACACGGAGCGAAAACTTCTCAAACAGGGCCCTCTGCTTGCGGTGTGCTATGCCTTTGGTTGCCACTTCTTCCTCGAGTAGCAGGGGCCTCTGGGGGAGCTGGCGCATTGAGCGCATCCACCTTACTGCGCAGCGCCGAGCTCTGGAGAGTCCCCAGCTTGCAGACGCAACAACTCCAGCAGGACTGTCTCCTCCTCCACACTCTGCCCATGCCAGCGCCAGTCGCTCCCCCATCGAACCCACGGCTTTTTCTGCTTTGGTGGTAGTCTTGGTTTTGACCTTGGGGATCGGCGAACCTCCTTGCCACTTGCCTTTGCCCTTGAGTTCGGGTGGGCTGCCTGCCCACGGACCCATGGGATCACGAGTTTCGGCACTCTTCGGTTTGAGCGCACCCTGGCAGCAGTAGTAGATCGTGTTCGCCCTGAATTTCTACCTGTACTTGCCTGCTGGGCACAGAACATGGCATCAAAAGGTCTGGATCCCTCTCGCTGGGAACTTTTGCTCCCACGGGAGATCGCGCAAAGTGGCCGAGGAGGGGCGGACTCCCTCGGCTCCTGCCTGCGGCGGACCAGGCGAGAAGCGCACGGCTGCCGCGGATGAGCGGTACCCACTTTGTCCACCAGGGGGGGCGATGGTCTTGAGCCAAGACTGCCAAGCATCCAAAAGGGAGGGAGGAAGGGAGGGAGGAGGAGAGAGAGAGAGAGAGCAGGAGCGAGGGAGGGCGGAGCAGGGAGGGAGGAAGGAGGAGAGAGAGAGAGAGAGAGAGCAGGGAGGGAGGGAGGAAGGAAGGGAGGAAGGGAGAGCAGCAGGAGAAAGGCAGTAAGAGAGCAGGAGCGGGGGCCCGGGGGCGGACAGGGCGAGGCGGAAGGGCGGACGCCGCCGCGAGGCGCGGGAGGGGGGCGTCCTGGGAGAGGGCAGCCGCCCGGGCGACGTGCTGGCGCGGAGCCGCTCCGTGAGGACGGGGCCGTGCAGGGGGGCCTCCGCGCACGCCCTCGCCGTCAGGGGCGGCGAGGGCGAGGCGGGCCGCGGCCCACGGGGCGCCGCCGCCGCCTCGCACTCGGGCGCCTCCTCCGCGGCATTCCGCCTCCTCCTCCTCCTCCTCCTCCTCCTCCTCCGCCTCCTCCGCCTCCTCCTCCGCCTTTGCCTTCTCCTCCTCCTCCTCCGCCTTTGCCCCCTCCTCCTCCTCCTCCTCCGCGGCCTTCCGCCTCCTCCTCCTCCTCCTCCTCCGCCTCCTCCTTCTCTTCCGCCTTTGCCTCCTGCTCCTCCTCCGCCGTTGCTTCATCCCTCCCTTCCTCCGTCATCCCTTTTTTTTATCCGTATGTATGACTCCTCCCTGTCGTGACCCCCGACGTGTTCGTATGATGGGCGGGGCTTCTGATACTTCCTCACCATCGACCCCAAAGCTTGAATCTTGGAACAGTTTGACGAGCGGGTGGTTTTCAACATGTGGACCTCGCCCTAGCGCCGCGCACATTCGTCTTATAATTACGCAGCCGTTTCATGCATGGAGGGCGGGTGGTTTTCAAACGTGGTGCTCGCCCCAGCGCCGCGCGCAGTCGACTTACAAGATTGTGGCAGCTTGAAAGATTCACATGGCTGAAGTCCCAGGATCGGTGTTCTGGCACGGTTTGCCATCGTCAGGGCGCAACAGTCACACAAATTCGCTGTGCTGAAATCCCGAGAACTGTGTCCTGTCATGGCATGGGTTTGTCTGGACACGGTAATCACGTTGACTCGCGACGCTGACGTCCCAGGAACGGTGTTTGGGCACTATGGAGGATTATCAAACAGCTGTCTTTCAAGGGGGCACTTCCCACAATGAAAACAACATTCGTGCAGGGGCCCGTGAAGAGGGAACTTAATTAGGACAAGGGTTTGTTGCTACAGCGTTGATGCGTCTTGGGCTGACGCAGCCCGTGACCAGGGTCAATCAAAAGCAGAAGCCCGACCTGGTGAGACGGAGCCTTCAGCCCAAGATGAGGACCCACCTGCCCCCACTTGCGTGGACCCGTTCATCTTTTATGTCTGAAACTTCGCCCCCCCCCATCCGCATTCAGTGGCTAGGAAGTTCAAGTCGTCCAGGATGTGTCTGCTCGTAGGCGGACCTCTGCTGGCTGTTCGTCCTCCTCCTCCTCCTTCGTCTCCTCCTCCTTCTCGTATTCCTCCGTCTCCGCTTCCTCCTCCTCCTCCTCCTCCTCCTCTTCTTCCTCCTCCTCCTCCTCCTCCTCCCCATCCTTCTCCTCCTCCTCCTCCTCCTTCTCCTCCTCTTCCTCCACTCTCCCCCACCTCCTCTTCCTCCTCCTCCTCCTCCTCCTCTTCCTCTTCTTCCTCCTCGTCCTAGTTCTCATGTTTTTTCTCCTCCTCCTCCTCCTCCTCGTTCTTCTCCCTCGCTCCCTTCCTCCCTCCTCCCTTGCTCCCTCCCTCATCGTGTTCCTCGTCATGTTCTGCCTCCTCCTTCTCCTCCTTCGCCTCCTCCCCCTCCTCCGTCCCTGTCCTGGTCAGTCCTCGCCTTGCTCCTGCAACGTCTCCTCTTGTTCCTCGTCATGCTCATCCTCTCCCCGCTTGTCTCCCTCAAGTGGTTTCATTTTCCCGCTAACTAATTCCTCCCTGCGGCACCCCCAGACGTGTTGGTTGAGCGGGAACGGCGTTTCGCCCGAGACGCCTTCTCCGTGCATGTGACCCTGGAGCTTGCACATTGTAACAGCGTCACGGATCGAGGGCGGGTGGCGTTCAAAATGTAGCTCCCGCCTCAGCGCCGCGCACATTCTTTCTCAAAGCTTGCAACAGCTTCACGGCAACAGCATCACGGATGGAGGGCGGGTGATTTTCAAAATGTGGATCTCGCCCTCGCGCCACGCACATTCGCCTTCAAAGCTTGCAACAGCTGCGCGGCAACAGTTTCACGGATGGAGGGCGGCGAGTAGTTTTCAATGTGTGGATCTCGCCATAGCGCCGCGCAAAAGTGTGTAGCGGGTTCACGGTTTCACGGCAAGTAGTTTTCAAAATGTGGCTCTCGCCTCAGCACCGCGCACATGCGTCGCATTTCTGCAACAGGTTCACGGATGGAAAGCGACTTTTTTGTTCCGAAGAATGGCTCTCTCCCTGGAGCCGCTTTGTCCTAAATGGATGAAGCAACTTTAGAGGTATTAATGGTTGAAGATGTTTTACAAAAATGGTCTGGCTCGATGTCGGAATGTCAAGACGCAACAGTCACGTTGACTCGCCATTATGAAGTCCCAGAGATCGTTTTCAGACACGACCTGGGAATGTTAGAACGCAACTGTCGCCTTGATTTGCAACGCTGGAGTCCCATGAATTGTGTTGTGGCACCCTTGAGGATTCCCAAACGGTTGTCTTCCAATGAGGCGTTCCCCACAACGTAAATAAATTCTTGTATGGGGACTATGACATGAGAAAGGAACTTGGATGGAGAGTGTATTGCAGTATCGTTGATGCGTCTTGGGTTGGTCCTCCTCCTCCTTCTCCTCCTCCACCCCCTCCCCCTCCCTCTCCTCTTCCTCCTCCCTCTCCCCCTCCTTCTCACCCTCTTCCTCCTCCTCCTCCTCTTCCTCCTCCTCCTCCTCTTCCTCTTCCTCCTCCTCATCCTCCTTCTCCTCCTCTTCTTCCAGGTCGCCCCCTGTCGCGCTGACGGGGAGGCCAGTGCCGCCACATGGGCGAACTAAACGTACATCCCCGCTTAGAAGAAGTGTCCCCCTCAGTCGGCATTGCTTTTTAACAACCGACTGCCGCGGACGCGATGGCACGCGTCAAGTGCCTAAGGGGGTGTGGAGACGGAGGCTACGCACCAGAGACAGAGAGACAGAGAGACAGAGACAGAGAGCCCGCGCACAAGAGTCCACACGAGGGGACTAGGCGGGGTGGGGGCTGGAGCACCCCAGGGAGCATAACATACGCAGTGTGGTGAAACACTGGACAATTCACTTTCTGGTAAACGGCAAGAATCCAGCCTCAAGGCGCTCCAGCTCAGCAGTCGAAGCGATACTGAACCATTCCGGATTGTTCCTGTACTTCACAGTGTCATCCACCCACCGAGTTCTAGGCCGGGCTTGTTTTCTATGGAAAGAAACATCTAAAGAAACTGGTGGGTCCCAAGTCAGTGCTTTGCGACCCCATTTCCATGGCTCCTCGGCCACTTTGGCAGCCCAGCGCAACTTTCTTTCTCGATGTTTGGTAACCCAATCCTGTAGCCCCATTTGGTCAAGAACACGTCATGGTTCGTGGGTGGTTCTCTTGACACACGTATACTAAGGCTCACTGAGTGAGTGCGTAACCGGGCGGCATGGTAAACGAATGCTCATACGCAACATATGCCTCTGAGTACGCTTAATTTGGTTCTCGAGCTCGGAAGTTATAAAGTCCAAGAAGCACAACCGTAAAGCACAGCTGCGGTGATTGTGCCATGAAATTAACGAATCCAGTCGCGAATCAACCGCGATCGCACAGTAAGCTCTTCTTTCAACATATAGAACTTTCTCCAGCCGGCAGCGATGCGATTCTCGACTTCCGTGCTGTGGGGGTTCTGGAATGTCACTTTTCGTTCCAAATACTTGTGCGACGCGGCTTGCGTGAGCATTTCCACAGGGAGCGTGTGATCAGAAATGTACTCGGGGCGTGTCTCTGTCGGCGCTCGCTCTGGTTGTGCAATATTCTTGTTTTATCAAGGTGAAGTTCTAATCCAGCCTTGGCGGCTTCGCGCCGGATATTTTGCGGCATGCACGTAACTTGTCTGAGAGATGTGGCAACCAACAAAACATCGCCAGCGAATCGCAAATTTGTCATCCGCTCGTCAGAAAAAGTCAAGATGTAGCCAGGATGCTACACACCAGGAAGCCCGAAAACTCACTCACGCTTTCGCTTGCCACGAGTTGCCCGGTGGCCATCCCCCCAGGACGGGCGGAGGCGGGGCCTCTTTGCCAGGGCCTGCGGGGCGCCCCCTTCGGGGGAAGAGGGCAGGCCGTGGGCGGGACTGAGACCCTCCCCTCCCCTGGGGATCCCTGTGCCGTCGGCCCGTATCGAGGGCGACAAGGATGCGAGGGCCTTGGACGCCCATAGAGGGAAGAAAATCCACCCCCAGAATCACCACCCGGACACGCGAAGTCGTCTAGCAAACGCGTCCAAAGAAGGAAGCAAACAGGGCAGGGTTGTTTAGTAAACGCCCGAGGCCGCTTAGTAAACGCCAATTGTCTGGTCTGGGTGGTTTTTCCTCCCTTAAGCCCAATTCGACACTTTTCGAGCGGGGCGCGGCCAACGAAAGTGGCCAAGGATGGACCGAGTAGGGAAGGATGCAAGGGTTCTCTTGTGAAGGTTGCCCAGCCTTCACACGCGGGCCGACTGCATCGTCAAGGCAGACCGCCCCACGCATCGCCTGTCCATCGCCGACACATCGCCCCGATACCAGCGGTGCATCGTCGATGTATCAACCATCCGAGGTCGATGCACCCCCCCCTATGCCTTCCCCCCCCCCTGTCGTTGCCCATGATCCTCGCGATCCATCCCCTCCCCCATCCTCCCCTCAACCCCCACCTACCCTCCCCTCCCCTGGGGATCCCTGCCCTGCTGTGGCACATCCCCCCGCCGGCGTCGCAGGCCGGTGCAGTCTCCAGCGCCGCAGTCGCGCCGAGGGCGAGCGTCCGTCCTCTCTTTTGCGGATGGCCTCTGGAGCCCGACGCGCGTCTTACGAACGCCAATCATTTCTTTGCGGGTTGCCCCTGGAACCTCGTGCGCACTTGCGAACGTCTCTCGTGTCGTTTGGTGGCCTCTGGAGCCCCGTTTGTTGCTTTGTGTCCTTCCCCTAGGCTTTGCGTGCCTGAGGTGAGGCTGAGCTCGCTGTTAGGGCATGTTTCGACTGTCGTGCCCAGAATGGAGTCGGCACTCGCCCAGCTGACAGGGAGTGACCATGCCTTCGTGGACGGCCGATCCGAATCTCCTCCTCTGATGGGCAACTGTAGGGGGGATAGGCAGACGGGGGATGCATCGTCTTCGAATGACCGGTACATCGCCCATAGATCGTCGATGCATCGTCAATGCAG